CCAATCTCATGGATGGCGGATCTTGAAGACAAACCTATCTTCGCATATGAAAAAAATGGCCACATAAACGTCCTATGATCTCCGTTCTTTGACATTGGATTTGGAGAGGAAAGCACAGTCGAAGAATACCTCGCCCGCATCCAATATTGCTTGATCGATATCGTCGGTGAGCAACTACCTTTCGGTTCGTGGCAACTAGTCGGACGCCGGGCACCTCCTCCAACTCCGGCTACTTCTCCGGCAACTTCTACCCTAGGCGTTGCTTGTTTTCTAGTGGCGTCACTAAGTGTGCTTGCAATTCTCTTCCGCTAACCACCAACTCCAAGAGATTGAGTGAGGGATCTCTAGGTGACTTTTTTAAATTTTAAATGTTGGGCTTTGTTAATGTACCGTTTGCATTTACTGTAATTTTGGTTATCAATTTTGCAAGACTTGTTAATCTCAAATTGTCGTTAATTACTAGTACATAATTTCTCTACCAAGAATTCCTAAAAGTCTAGCTTGAGCATGCAATAAGTTTACTGGTAACAAAGCAAAGTTCTTCTATGTTATTAATCTCTTTAAGGCAATTCTTATTTCCATCGCATATGTTTTACATCATTTAAATTAATTGAATGTATAATGTGTTATTAAGTTGCTCAATTATAAAATTTCAAAGTCATTGTTTCTTTTGATATTAATTACAGATTAACATTTCAATTAATTAAAATAAATTGATTGTTTTTAAATGACTTAGTTATTTAATTAAATGTTAATATTAATTCTGAATTAATTTCAATTATGTAATTTTGGTTTAGATTTAATCAATCAATTAAATGAGTAATTTTAAAATTAATTAGTTTATTATTTCATTAATTAATTGAATGAAACAAATTATTATTATTTTATTTAAATTAATTATTTTTAAATAAATGAATTAATTTTAAAGTGAATTAATTGTATTAGTTATACAAAAAGAAATAGATTTAAACATCTTAAAATTCCTCTCCAATGGCTCCAAAAGAAATTTCCTGTAGTCTTCCGAGGGATTTCAACAACCTCTCGGCATCCCCTCCCATTGCAGGGAAGTCAGGATGGCTTTTGCCGATAATTCTTACCGGTCGGACCTAAGGTCGACAACGCGAGGTCTCAAATTTTAAAATCATCCCGGTCGGATTTAAAATCAACGATGCGAGGTCTTTGATTTGATTTTCTCCTAGCTAGATTTAAGATCAATGGTTTAGGGTCTTCAATTTAAAATCATCCTGGCCGGATTTAAAATCAACGACACAGATTTTTAATTTGGCGATTCTCCTAGACAGATCTAAGATCAATGGCTTTGGTCTTCAGAAATTGAGATACCTGCCTTTAAGATATATAAAATTTTACTATAATTAGTTAAACTTCCAGCATAAATTATTAATGTATAAACAAGGGTAAATACAAAATAATTTGAACTATTGTTTCATATTAGAAGCAAAGCTGGTTTAGCATCATAATAAAGCTTTGTTTAAACAATTAATGCAGGCATCTTGTTATCCATAGCAATAAATATAACAAGAGGTAAAGGGCAAGTTGGTACATGTAATTTATGTGAACTTATCAGAAATGGCAGTATAAGCCGAACGTGAGGGCAAGGCTTTTATGCGTGAAGTGGCAAATTGCAGGCGGATCAAGGACACTGGAGAAGAAAGAGGGCAGTTTCACAAAGACAGGTTGCAGTTCGAGTGAGAGTGGGGAGTCGCATGGGTGTTAGGCTTGCATGGACTGGCTCGGCATGAGAAGGCGTGCGTGCGAACGGGTCGGACATAGGTTTAAGCGTGTGGACTGATCACGAACGGGGCAAGAGAGTTTGCGAACGGAGTAGGGCTTTGTCGTGCGTGGGTTGGCATAGAGGCTTTCAGATCGGAAGCTAGGTGTGAGAAATTTGAAGTCGGAAGAAGGTGAGTGTGCAAGTGTGAACCACGATTTACATGCAAGGCAGTGGCTCGTGCATGCGGGAGGTGTAGGTTGTGGGAACATCGCAGGTTCTGCTTACGTCGGAATAGGCAGTCTGGCGTGCAGCTGGGTTTCATGCCGAACAGGTAACTAAGGTATTGGGGTTCTGATGGAATGCGCGACTCATGCAAAGCTGGCCATTTCGCGCGGGAGGCGTTCGATCGGCACAAGCGTGGGGTCGGAGACTCAAAAAAAAAACATTACATGTATACGTGAATACGGAAGTCACAGGCAAGAGAAATAGTAGCAGACGGCTGTGTGCGAAGTATCTTACAAACGACTGAGATTAAGAGAAATGTACGTTCTCTGTTCATTTCTTCTCGGTCTTTTGATTGATTAACTGCCAAAGGCAACTATTGTGATGAAAAGTTGTGTCATTTAAGTATGAAATTGCTTGTGGGACCGGATCAAAGACAGTATTCGTGAAGAAATGCGTCTGTTTGATTTTCTTATTCTTTTTTTATTTCATCTATTCATTCATTATTTTTTATTGATTCATTGCCAAAGTTAGTTATTATTTGTATTTTTTTATTTATTATTGTATTGTTTTCGTTTTTACGCTCACTTGAGGGAGTAGGTTCTTGTGACCTCTAAGGGGCACTTTTGCCTTTTGATGTTTACTATTGTACTTGGCTATTTATACCCCTTTTCTCTTCTTGAGAGGGAATGACGATTATTACGAGATTTCTTTTTTCACTTGTATTCTTGGAAAGCTTGTGAGCTTATGTGAGAGTTGAAGTCCCTAGGTGAGGGCAACAAAATACCCACCAGCCGCAGTAAGTGTCCGGACTCGTGGTCTTCTTCCTCCACCATCTTCTTCCTTTCCTTCTCTAACCGGCCCTCCCCTTCCTCATCTAAGCCGCCGGCCTCACCCCAACTCCACCAAAAATCAGCCCCACCACCATACCCGAGCACCTCCCCCACCCATCCTATCCCATAACCATTGGCCTCTTCCTCCCTACCCTAGCCGCCGGCCTCCACCTCTAAACCCTAGCCACCGGCCACTATTTCCACCATCCCAAGATCCCAAAGTTACTCAAATTTACTATTTTTCTAATTTATCACAATATTAATTTGGAAGGTCTCTAATTCACATTCAAATGAATTTGAATTTCAAAACCCTTCATAATTGATATAAACCTATTTTAGGAAAGCCCCCAATTCTTGCAAATTTGAAATTAATTAGGATTTGATTTTAAATCCACATTCATCGTATGTGGACATCTTCCCTTTTTCCCCCTTTTTGGCTGACCCCCCCCCCCCTGCCCCCCCCCCCCCTCTCTCTCTCTCTCTTTAATTATTTCCTTTCCAATTGGGAGCTCCAAATAAGGAGACAATTAGCCGCCCCTCCCCCATTATTCCCTCTTTCTCCCATTCATTTTAGGGAAATTAAAATCAACTTCTCTAATCATCTCCTCCCTTAAAACTAAATTTAATTTCAGATTTTTCCCTCCTTGATTCAAATACAAGTTCTACAACTAAATCCTCCATTTCCCTCCTCTATGGTCGGCCCCTACCTCCACCCGTCCACTTTGAATTAGCCTCCATAACTTCCCTCCCACATATACATCGATTATTACAGATTTTCTCCTTCACCAAGACTGTTGTCTTGCATCCAAAAATCATCCTAGTTGTTGTCTAGAATTTCCTGCATGCAATAGTTTGCTGACTTGCTGTCTAGGACCTCCTAGCTCGCTGTCCAGAGCTTCCAACACGTAACAGCTTGCTGTCCCGCCGTCCAGAGCTTGTCTAGTTCACTGTCTCGTCTTCCGGGAACTATTCGATCATCATCCAAACATCTAGAATTGCTGTACTGCTGCCTAAAGCATGTGGGAAGGGTTGTGTAGCCATTTCTCCGCATAAGCAACCAAACGACTTCGCCAGAGCTTCGAATCTTCTTTCTTGTTGGTAAACTCTTTCCCTTCCTTGTACTTTTTAAATCCCTTTCAATTGTGACATCATAAAGATTGTGTAAACTTTCTCCGCAAGCCAATTTATTAAGAGTGTGAGTGAGTGGACACAACTAGTGACTAATGTTAATTTATGGATTTCCTTTGAAAATCCCCCATGTTATATGCTAAGCTTGATTGAATTGGTTAATGTTATGATCCTAAACGATTATCGTGTAATTTGGCCTAAGCTACATCATCCCTCTTATTATATTTAATCTCCGTTTAATTCGCTAAAAGTTAGAATAATTATTGTTTCTCTAATCTAAGGCATTTAATTTCAACATTGGATATTTACATATGCATCTAGTTTTACATCAAGTGGTTTATTTCGTTATCAATTCAAGGTCATTTAGGGTTCACAAAAAGAAGATTCAGATTTTACGGCCCTAATCCACAATTGTTTGCAGGTATTGAAAATATTCTCCTTTATGTCTCAAATAAATTTGAGGGATGCACTTTGTTGTGCTTTGCGCGCGCATCAAGCAAAAAAATAAACCTTTGTGTTGACAATCTTATTGATCAATAAACACATAATTTGATATTTAAGAAAATTAAATGGTATCATGTAAACATATCAGACCATATCAATTAGATAGGTGGCTAAACAAACTAAACCAACAAAAGATAAAAACAATTAAGGCATGGGAAAAAATCCGAATAAGTAGGCTAGATAGATTTCATCCATGCTTATGCAGCTGCATGGAAATGCATCGAAGAACAAATATTATTTACGGGCATAATTTGTAGGCTTATAAAATCCACTAGAAAGGCATACTATATATATATATATATATATATATATAACATGTGATGAGAACATTAAAATGTAATTTCCTTTAAATGTCCCAAAACCACGGCCATACAATTTGCTCCTAGCATCAAAATCCAAGTTAGTTTGAGCTTGGCCAAGCCAGGCCCGGCACAGAAGGTACCTAGCTTGGCAATACTAATCAGCAGTCTTCATAAAAGTATGAAGAATAAATGTTAAGCATATTCAATGCACATGTAATGTAAATGTCATTCACACAAAGTATGGCACAAAACATTTTAATTATATAAAAAAGAAAAAAATAATCATGCAAACTATGATTTATTATTTAAGTAAAATCAGTAGTGTGTCATTGATATAATTAAAAAAAAAAATTCCATTCCAGTATTTAAATAAACCACTCTCCTAAAGAGCATGTATACAATGTTCCATAATAACAAAAAAATTCCAAAATTTGTCCTTCGTGTATAACTGTCAAAACAACCATTCAGGTATCAAGTATCGTGTTAAACAGCAAAAACGCAGAAGAATACTTCGTGTTGTAATGGTAATGAATATAAAGCAGTAACTGTTTGAAAGAGGCATACGTGTTTAAGCTTCTCTCACGAGCTTCATCAAGAATTATGACTGAATATTGATCCAATCTAGGATTAGAGAGGCTTTCACGGAGAAGAACACCATCAGTGAGATACCTGTGAACTCCAAGCAAGGTGATTCAAAATTTGTATTCATAATGCAAATAAAAGATCATGATCAGCAAAGCTTCATGAAACTGTTGATAAAAAACATCTCACTTCATGCAAATTTTATCAGATGTTTGATCTTCAAACCGTATGGCATAGCCCACTTCTTCACCAAGCTGTGCACCAACTTCTAAAGCAACCCTCCTTGGCGCTGAACAAGTGATTAAAAAAGACAGTGAGAAAAGCACAAAAAATCCATAAAACAATTATAACAAACTTTAAAATAGCATGCTTTGAAGTGATGATAAACAACTAAGATTCTGATTAGTCCAAAAACTGAGATTTCCATTTCCGAACCAACATCGGTAAGTGCTTGATTTCATGATGGAAACTATCAGCATTCAGGTGAGTACTCGAATAATCCCAAGTGATTGCAGATCCTCACTCACAAGAAGCAATAGTTTTACACTAATTTTGTCAAATTTTTCAGCTGCTTTGCATTTCAAAATATGTGGCAGCAACTGGATGTGCGCCTTCGCCATGGCTCACCACCACGGACCATATACAAGCAAAGCAATTTTTTCAAATCTAAATAAGTAAAACTGACTTCATTTCATACCAAACAATATGACAGGGAAACATACCATTATTAAGGGAAGCCTAAGCCTTTGAATAATTCATTTGTGATAACTTGGTGATTGTTGAACATATCAACTTGAAATGGATCCAAAACACAATAATGAACAAAACAAGAATACTGAATTACCATATTTTTTCAAAACACTGTTATAATATATTTATAAAGGAGAGGAAGAAAAACATGTCCATCATCATATCCTGAAATTCTGTGGTGAGAAGTTGTCTGAATGCAATCGATTAATGTTGCAGAAGAACATGGATAATGAAATTTTATTGTCTAAATTAAAATAAAGTAAAAAATGGTGCGCTTGTTCATTCACATATGCTGTCACTGTATTATAAAGTTATGGCAATAATTATGTAACTGCCATGATATTACGATATCATTTTATTTCTACCATCTTATTTTAAGGTTATGGCTATCATTCTTATCAACCATTAATAAATCCAAAATCATTTTGGCAATGTCACATTACTCATATCGTAAACATGTCACAGCAGTACAGGACCCGCTCTATAATAGGTGAGCAGTACCGTGATATGCATTTTGACATGATGCTTATCTGAACTTATTCTCAAAGAAACATCCCATGGTAAATATATGATGATTCAAGATAAAATGGACGTTAAAAACAATGATGCAAGCAACAGGTTGAAAAATATCATACAATAAATCATTAAGTTCAAATTAATATATGAAGTTTCACATATATTATAAACTTCATTCAAAGAAACCAAGAAACCTGACATCAACTACTTAGCGAGCCTGCCATGCTTCAATCATTTAATTGAATACAATAGAATATCAGAATAATAGGGGTTGGTTACTGTGAGCTCCAGTCAGAACATTTACCTGTGGTATTATTTGGCTATGAAACTATCAATTAGAGGACACGTGTCCCATCCTTACTGGCTTAGCTTTCCATTTAAATTCTGATTTGTTTAGGGTTTTGTAATTTTACCCATGCTTGAGCGAATTACCAATTTCAGTTCCCTGTAGGTTCTATATCATGTTCCCTGCTATTTTCACTTTGATTCTTATTTACTGGCATTTCATTATAAGTATCTTAATTTGTATTTTAGTTGCTTATGTATTTAGAATTTGTAAGTCTGAGTCCCTAAGAATGCAAGTCCATGTCTCTGAAAGTTATAAGTTTTGTTTCTATAGTGCAAAAATTTCTAAGTCCCAAAATTTAGTTAAAATTCCGGCAACCTCCAAGAGTCTCCTCTATGTGGGAGAAATTTTGGGAGTTGGGCCTAACCACCGTGCTAAGAAAAAAATGTACGACCATTGTTGAGTGGCACCACGGTCAAAATTTTGTAATCTCATCACCAAGAAAGGTGTATATGTGGTACTTATATGAGAAATTTTAGGTTAGCCCAAAACAACATTTTACATCACACAAGCCACTGACGAGGCTCCTTCAACAACGATAAGAAAAGCGTATATAAGATTTGCCCTACATAGGGTTTCCACTCGCCGCATCGAATGCATTATAGCATGTTTTGGAGTTATTCAGATTTATGAAGCATTATACCTACATGCTTAACGAGGCAACGACGTGGTCGGAGCAACTAATCTACGAGCAAATGCAACACATCATAACACATATTTCTTATTGAAATTATTTTTGCTAAAATTATCATTTATATATTTTTTATTTACTAAATTTATTATTTTTTAAGAGAGAGATCTCTTTCTAGAGAGAGTAAATGTGAGAAAGAAAGCATGTAATTTTTTTGTATGGATGATATGGGTGAGGTAAGGCTTAGGTAGGATTTGGATAGGTTTGGAAGATTTTAGAGAGAGATAAATCTCCCTTTCTCTCTGTTTAGATAGAGAAAGAGAGGGAAAAGAAGGATTTAGTGGGAAATAAATTTGTTAGAACGTGTAGAGGTCTTTTGTGCATTCAGGTAAAAATTATCATTCAAAGGAAGATAAATATTTTGTGCTTTCAAGAAACTAAATGGGTTGGAGAGAAGGCTAAGGAGATTGATAGTTTAGGATTTAAACTATGGTATTCGGATAGGAGTCATACTAGAAATGGTGTAGGTGTAATTATAGATAAGAGTTTGATGGATAATATAATTAAAATTAATAGAATTGGAGATAAAATTATAGTTTTAAAGATTATTGTTAATGCTAAGATTGTTAATATTATGTGCTTATGCTCCTCAAGTAGGTCTGGATATGTATTCAAAATTAAAATTTTGGAATGATTTAGAAGAATTAATACAAAAGATACATCTTGAAGAAAGGCATATGATTTTAATGGACATGTTGGTAGAGAAGCAGATGATTTTAAAAGCATTCATGGTTATAATACCCAACGTTTATAAATGTAAGCATGCAATTTTTACAATCTAAAACATTTATTTAAATGCATCACTGCAGCAAATCCACTTAAAATAGCATGCAGAAGCTAGATGTAATCACACGACTAGGAGTGAAGGAAAATGTTGTAGTGGAATTTGTTGCAGAGCATTAGCATTAGTTTATTATATAATAAAAGTTAAGTTATAACCTTTGCATTGGTTTCATTGTCATTTTCATTTTCAGTTTCTTTTTTTCCTGCTCAACATTCTCTAGAGGCGGAAATGCCAGGGAGCTCAAGCCGTAGGCTGTAAGGGGAAGGGAAGTTGATATTGTGAAGAAAATTCAGAAATTAAAAGATGGGAGAATGAGAAAGAGGTAGGGAAGACTTTTGAATGGAATGAAGAAGAGTTTAATTGAGGTTGAGGTGGTGTATAAAAAGAAAAGAAAGCTGACACTAGGAGAACCAAATCCTAGCAAGGTGAGATACCCAAACGATGCTATAAGAATTAGTAAATGTTCTATGATTGCATTTCATCTTTCTTATGTTTATGATCACATTTATTTCAGTTTACCTTAGTTTGTTTTGTATGAACATGGACGGACATGTATGAAATTATTTATGCAAAGAGTAATATTTATCAATGTTAAAAATTTCGTAAATGATAAAGGTTTATAGATTAATGAGTGAAAGAAAAAAAATGGGGAGGGGGCAGCAAAAGCGTAGCAAAAGTGCAGCTAAAGCACAGCAAAAGGGCAGTTAAAGCGCAGCAAAAGGGCAGCTAAAAGGCAGCTAAAGGACAGCTAAAGTCAACATTATGTCACTTCCAAGCGCAGCAAAAGGCCAGCAGTACAAGGAAAACTATCAGTTTAGTTAAAAGGAGAAGCATCAGATCTTAAAGGCAATCAACCTGTGAAAGCTAAAGTGTTTGTCATTACACCCTAGGAGGCTAAGGATTCAGAGGAAGTGGTTATAGGTATATTTTTTATTTCTAACAAATTTGGCAGAGTTCTTTTGATTATGATGCATCCCATTCGTTTATTTTTGAAGAATTCTAATATGATTTATCTGTTGAGACTGTATATTTTACACCTACCTTGTGTGTTATGATGCCAACCAGGGATAGTTTGCCTGCCAATAGGATGTGTCTTATAAATTTGGATATCAGGGTCACAAATTTTCAACAGAATTGATTATAGTGCCTATTAAAATGTTTGACATCATCTTGGGGATGGATTGATTAGTTAAATATTTTGCTATAATTCAATGTTGAAAGAAGATAATAAAATTTAATTTGCTAAATGAGAAACCTTTTATTTTCCCTGTGAGAAGAATGCAACATCCTCTCTTGTTAGTGTAGTAAAGATGGGTAAATACTTAAGGAAGGGTGAACTAGTACTCTTAGGTAAAATGGAGGTCTTAAATAAAGATGTTCAAGCATTGCAGAATGTTTCAGTTGTCTCTAAATTTTCAGATGTATTTCTTGAAGAATTACCTAGATTACCCCCTGAAAGAGAAGTTGAATTTGACATAGAATTGCAGCCAGAAACATCAGCAATTTATAAATCTCCTTATAGGATGGCCCCAAAAAAATTGCAGGAGTTAAAAACCTAGTAATAGGAATTGATGGACAAGGGATTTATCAAGGCTAGTCATTCCCTTTGGAGTGCACCTGTACTTTTCGTTAAGAAGAAGGATTGATCCATGAGAATGTGTATTGACTATACAGAACTGAACAAAGTAACTATTAAGAACAAATATCCATTAACACGAATAAATGGCTTATTTGATCAGTTAGCAAGTGCCACAGTATTTTCCAGAATTAATTTAAGATCAGGATATCATCAAGTGAGAGTTAAAGAAGCAGATGTCAGTAAGATAGCTTTTGGGACTAGATATGGCCATTTTAAGTTTAGATTCACGCCGTTTGGGTTAACAAATTCTCCTGCTATCTTTATGGATATGATGAACCAAATTTTCAAAGACTATATAGTTATAAGCTTGATTATGATTGATTTATAAAAGTCGACTCTAGGACATCTGACTAAGAAGGAAATTCATACTAAAGCTTTGACACATATTTGAAATGATTAGAAGCTTGATTATGATTTATTTATAAAAGTAATCATAAAAGATTTCTTAATGAAGATGACATTATATGTTTGGACTTTATGTTTTGTACTTTTGAGGATAATTTTATGTATAAATTAGTTAACATTTGTACTGTGTAAGTGATTTTGTGAAACAATGATTTGAGTATATATAGTTATATATTTTTGAATTTAAACATGGCAAATATGTTTTGTTGTTCTCTAAAAGGCAAAGAATTATCCTTGTGACAAAGCAGAAACAGAGCAAGGATCATTCCAATCTAACTTGGAAGCCAAATGATGTAGAAGCAAAATAATAATACGAGTCAACTGTAGTTTTGATGGTTTTGAGGAAGTAGGAAGGCAATTTTTTATTTTGCTTGTATAGCAAATAAATAATAAGCCAAATAGGTCTTTTTTTAGAATTTTTATGTTTTATAGCATTGAAATATCAAAGAAATATTTAATATTAAACAAAAATAATCACCAGTTTGCTGTTAAAGGTCACCTCAAGGAATTATATTTTCGAAAACTTCAGTTAGAACTTTATAATATGTACATGATCACACAATGAAATGATGTATGGAAGATAATGTATTAATAAAATTTTTTATTCATTGATAATTTCTCAGAGTATAACCTAGGGTCTACTGTAAGTAAAGGGGCTCAAGCTCTACCAACAAGAAGATTGGCTATCTATTCCTATATAATATAGATTTGAATATGATTGTTTATTTTTATCTTCAATCTTTTGGCTTTGGATCTTCTATAGAATTCCAAAAGATAATTATCTTCAAAGGAAGAAGAATTATTTTCTTTTGGAAACTACAAGTGTATATAAATAAACATCTTCAAATCTTTTATAACTCTTGACACTATATAACTCAATCTAACTATACAAGAATCTAAAACATTTATTTTTACATTATTGTCTTTATATCTGTATTTACATCATTGCCAAGGTACATACTATTTTTGCATAAATATAGAATAACAATTTATATATATAAATACACATGTTTTATGGTGTATACGTGTATACAAGTAAATATTAAATTTCCTAAGAGCCTACTCCAAATGTGCACCAACAAAAATATAAATATGACATCCATAGTATAGAAAGTAAATAATCTAGACATGAGTACCCTCTAGGCATGGCACTCCAAGTAAATCAAATCGAACAACTAGCCTAGTCTAAGCTAGAGTTGGTTGTCCTATTAAATAATCTAATGTGTGTATAAGGCAGAGTGGCTTCGAAAGGTCCTTGGCTTTATATGTTTGAGGTCATGGTTTAAAATTGCGCAATTAGAGGCGCGCCTCAAGGCGCGCCTTTGCGCAATTTCACCAAAAAACGCCTCGAGGCTTACGCAATTCTGGACCTGGCTGAGGCGTACGCCTCACCTGGACTGAGGCGCGCCTCAGAGGCGCAATTGCGCAATTCTGGGTGAGGCGTACGCCTCATAGAACCGGCCCCACCAACTTAAAATGAAGGCTTTTCTCCCCCTTAATCCCGCACGGCTTCCCTCATCTCCGAAAAAAAC